GCGATCCTCCTTATATGCATTTCCTAATGTATAAAGGTACAATTTCATACTAACGCTCGACGCTCATTTTTAGTACCAAAACGAGCCATATATGATCAAAGTTAATAAATATCGAGCGTCTATTTCGATCATGTGACCTGTTTTGACGCTAAAAATGAGCGTCAAGTGTCAGCATAGAAAAGGTTCCTTTCAGAGTCTATTTTTTTATATTATAGTTTATTAATTCATTTTTTTATTATAGTTTTATATTTTACATATGGTTCTTTTATATGATGGATGCTCTCACGGCAGAAGAGGTCATTTCTTTCAATCATCTTGAATATCTATTTTTTTCTTAAATCATATGATTATATGATTATTGTAAATATTAATGATCATATATTATATACATTATTTTATTAAAAATAAAAATCAAGATACAGATATAGAAATAAAAAATTTGGTATTTGTAATTTCACGTTATCGCAAATTTTCATTCTTTTATTCACAAATTATTTATAAATCATTTGATATATTAATAAACGTAAATAAAAAGTAACGTGTATCTCTAGTGTTATTTATATATAGTGTTACATTATATTAAATAAATACATAATAAAAACATACATACATTTATACTTATATGTATATAAATATACACATAAAAATATAATACGTATAATAACGTAATATAAACATGTACAATTAAGAAAAAGTTTTAATTTATATAGCTTTTTTTATATATGTGATATATGAAAAATATATCGTTACAAGTTACTTGTATTCTTATGTTTTAAATAATAAAACTTTTAGATATATAATTTTACTTTTATACAAAATAACATGACAAATATTTTAAATAAAAGCCGAAATCCGTAAAATAACTATGCGCAACGCTCTAATCTTTTTTTTTTCTTATCGCTACTACATACAAGACAGCGTTATATTTACGTCGAAGTAGGTCACTTATTGTCTGCAAATAGGCATTTTTATCTAATCCAGTGCCAAGTATGTTACCTAACTGCAACACGAATATAACGAACGTATGCAAAAAGAACTGTTATGTGAACGTATGCAAAAAACATTACTAGATAACGTGCGATCAATGTCAATAGTTGCGTTTGATATAAGGTTTCGTCAAATTTTATAACGCTAGAGAGAGAGAGGGGAGGAAAGAGAGAGTATCTTGTATTATTTTCATAATGGAAATGTGCAATAAAATATTTTTATATAATTGATTTCGTTTGGTATATTATTATAAGATTTCGTTAAATTTTATAACGCTATGGCTAGAGAAAGGGAGGGAGAGTGGGAGGGAGGGAGGGAGAGAGAGGGAGAGAGAGAGAGAGAATCTTGTATTATTTTTATAACGAAAATATGCAATAAAATATTTTTATATAAATTAATCTCTGATATATGTTATTTGTTCATTTGTTTTATTTTCCACTCAAAAAAAATAAATCCTTCAGTGTAATAATATTTTTCAAAATTATATAAAAACTTTTACTGTCTGCAAATTATATAATAATATATAAGAAATATTAATTTATTCACACGCATATATACATATGTATGTAAATATTGAGTTCAATTAAAAAGAGTTTTTTACCAAAGAAAGTGTCTTCTGTATTTTCGCATGTTTGGAAGAGTGAATGCGGCGGCGAATGCGAAAATATGACTTTGGCCGTTAGGCATAACAATAATAGTGGATAATATTTAATCTATTAATAAATTAATTTTTATCAATATCCTTTTTTATTCATTTTAATACGTATATTTTTAATAAATACTTATTATTAAAAATAAAGAAAATATTTAAGAAAGGCTACGAGCCAATGACAATTTTCAATATACGTTCATTGTAACAAACGTTTCAACCTCTTTTTATCAGGTCATCCTCAGTGTTATTAATTTAAAATTCTATAAACCGCCTATAATCGTAATTACGTAAAAACAGACCGTTGGACACATATTTAACAGTTTGTGTAACATGTTCTTTCTTTGATTATCCCATTAGTCCTTGTGTAACCTTATGTATATTCTTGTTATATAGTTTGAGAAGTAATAAACAATGTAGGTAGATTACACGCTCCGTTAATCTCAAATACAATATATATAAGTCCAGTAGTTAAAGTGCAAGTTATAATATCGGGAGTTCAATAATAACACACATATAATTAACGTCTAATTCTTCGCTTATAAGTAATGTTTCATTAAAATCGTATATTGCTGTATCAACTATGTTACTCACTGTAAAAAAATTGTTGCACTTTAACTACTGGACTTATATATATTGCATTTGAGATTAACGGAGCGTGTAATCTATCTACATTATTTATTACTTCTCAAATCATATAATAAGAATATACATTGTACACAAAGACTAATAGAACAATCAAAGAAAGAACATGTTACACACACTTCTAAATGTGCGTTTAACGGCTTGTTTTTGCGTAATTACGATTTATAAAATTTTAAATTAATAACACTAAGGATGACCTAATAAAGAAATCGAAACGTTTGTTACAATAAACATATATTGAAAATTGTTCATTGGCTCGTAACCTTTCTTAAATACTTTCTTTATTTTCAATTTATATATATATATATTGAGATATAATATTATCTATTTTTATTTATTATATTAAATTCAATTTTCTATGCTATAACATAACACAGTAAAATTTAATATGTTTTTGAAATAAATTAATACGATATTATGCATATAAATCAAATTTTTTACTTTTCAGTATCTTCTTGAAGCAGGATGGTGTGCAGATGGGAAAAAGATCGGCATTACGGAGCCGAGAAGAGTCGCGGTCACTTCTCTGGCAAATCGCGTGGCCGACGAACGTAATTGTATTCTAGGGACCACCGTCGGTTATTGCATACGCTTTGATAATTACACTGATGAAACAACTAGGATTAAGGTACACTGTAAATAGAAGATAAATAGAATGCAAAACACGACTTGTACTCAAAATATTATCTAATTTTACATTATGAAACATCATTAATGGTACTTTTCTATTGTTATATCATAATAAGATAAGAAATAATGTCAGTATTTTTCTATATATTTTTTTTATATTAATGCGTATACGTGTGTATTATTTCGAAGACTAATATATAAATTGCCTTTGTAGTATATGACAGAGGGTATTCTCCTAAGAGAATTAATGAGGGATCCATTATTAACAAGCTACTCGGTCATTATCTTGGATGAAGTGCACGAGAGGACCCTCTTAACTGATATCATAATGGGGCTGCTGAAAAAAATAATCAGAGTAAGTTCACTGATGTTATAACAAACGTAACTTCCCTCCCGCGAAACATAATAAATTGACGCCATCTCATAAACGTTTGCAGAAACGAAAGAGTTTGAGAATTATTGTATCGTCAGCGACAGTTGACGCGGAGGAACTTCGAGATTTCTTTAATGTAAATATGATGAAAGACTCGAGTAAAAATAGCGCGGTTATCATGAGCGTCGAGGGGCGATTGTATCCAGTGGATGTATTTTTTCTCAAAGGTACACACATATTCCACAGAGTCATGTTCGTGACTGAAATTATAACTCTCACTGTTTAATTAAGATATTATATTGCAGAACCGGTGGCGAATTATGTTAATGGTGTAGTAGACACAGCTCTAAAAATACATGATATGGAAGAATCGGGTGATATCTTAGCGTTCCTCACAGGGCTTGATGAAGTCGATCAAGCCGTATCTCTTTTATCAGAACACGCAAAGCTCATAAAGGATGACAAACGTAAGTAAGATAATCGAGGAGTTTCTCAAAAATAAAGAGCAGAGAATACTTGGAATTTTTTAAATAGAAGATTTTCGAAAAGAAGACTCAATTCATAAATTGTTTCATTAATCCTTAATTCTCTCCTAAACGCGCGCGCGCGCATGCGACACACGCACGCACACAGAGTACAGAGAGCCATTTTTATGTCCTACCGCAAATATCTTTCTTCCTACTTTTATCAAAAAATGTTTCAGATAAAAGTTTTAGCAATATTATTGTAACCTTAGGTAGTTTTATTATACGTATGATATAATAACCTTTAATATATTTAATATTTTTTGAAGAAATTTAAAACTTAAGTTGAATAAATTATTTTTAGAGAAACTGCTTCCTTTGCCGATGTACGGATCGCTTCCGAACGCGGAACAGCTTAAGGTATTTTGGAGGACCGCTAAAGATACTCGCAAAGTTATCGTAGCGACAAATATCGCGGAAACGTCTATTACGATTCCAAATATCGTTTATGGTATGTTACCTACGGTATATTAGTGTACTTTTTATCCTTCTTAACATTTGATTTGACGACATTGTGTAATCGAAACTTTGTAATGTGCAGTAATTGATTGCGGTTTTGTCAAGATACCTTGGTTTGAAGCGGAAACGCAGACGAATAGTCTCGTTATCGTGCCCATATCAAAAGCTTCCGCCAATCAACGAGCCGGCCGCGCAGGTCGCGTACGTACTGGAAAAGTATTTAGGTAAAAGAGAAACACATTTTTTTTTGTTTTATGTTTTCAGGAAGACTAATTATATATGTATATATAATTCTAATAATTGTAAAGATAGAATGGTAATGCACCCAGAAAATAATTTAGACAAAAAGTCCAAATTCGATATGTCTTAAAGACACTTATGCAAAAACTTCTAGATATATAAAAGATGTCTTATAAGACATCTCATGTTCCGATTTTGAATTTTGTGTTACTTGTATATTATTTTCTATATTAATTCTGAATATAAAAATTATTGCATTATTAGTAAAATATTTTACGAATCTTATAATAAATAGATTGTACACGGAAGAGGCTTACGCTGAATTGTTCGAAGCTACTTCGCCAGAAATGCAGCGATCAGATTTGGCGCCAGCGATACTGCAACTGAAGGCTCTGGGCATCGATAATGTATTGCGTTTCAATTTTCCATCCGCGCCGCCCAGCAAAAATCTAGTTACGGGATTGGAATTGCTTTACGCATTAGGTGCAATCGATAGTAACGGAGATTTGACGATGCCATTAGGTGTTACGATGGCGGAGATGCCGTTGGAGCCGGTGCTAGCGAAATCCTTAATCACATCTGGTATATATAAGAATAAATATGTTAATAAATTTTTTAAATACAACAGAAAAATGCAAAATTTCTTCATTAATCAGTGACATTTTTTTAAATCAAAGATTTTCAATCTCTAAATAAATACGATAATAATGTATAATCATGATTAATAATAACAGTAAATTTATAAGTTTTTTTGTTGATAGGTGAAATGGGATGCTCCCAGGAAATCACGACAATATTCGCCATGCTACAAGTTCAGAACGTTTTTATACAACCCGGGGGAGGGCAAGCGGTTCTAAAAGCAAGAATAGCTCATCGCAAATTCGAAGTGGAAGAAGGAGATCTTCTTACCTTGTTAAATGTTTACACAGCTTTTGAACAGAATAAAACGCCCGCTTGGTGTCAAAAATATTTCCTTAATCACAAAGTTTTGCGGAGAGCTACGGAAATTCGCGTGCAGATGCATAAAATGCTGAAACGCTTAGACATTCCACTGGTATCCTGCAATGGTATAGTATTTTGAATTTAACTACAGATATAACTATATATATAATTATATATATAATTATAAATATATACGAGGTCTGTTCAAAAAGTATCGCGAATTTTGAATTTCCGCGGGTTACGTATATTCGATTTTCGATTTTTTTGTGGCGTTATGTTGGTACTCATGTCTCTCACTTATGC